CTTCATTATAAACCCTAAACCCTAAACCCTAAACCCTGAACCCTAAACCCTAAACCCTAAACCCTATAAACTCTAAACCCTATAAACTCTAAACCCTAAACCCTGAACCCTAAAGCCCCAAACCCTGAACCCTGAACCCTAAACCCTAAACTCTAAACCCTAAACCCTAAACCCTAAACTTTAAGCCCTAAACCCTGAACCCTGAACCCTAAAGCCCTAAAGCTTACTTAAACAGGAAGAACAGCCAACCGACGACCCGGAGCCGGAGAGGCTCCGGCCAGCCCTTTCGGGGGACAGGATGTGTCTTCGAATTTCAGGGTTCAGGGTAGGTTTAGGGTTTGGGTTTAGGGTTCAGGGTTTAGGGTTTAGGGTTTAGGGCTTTGGGGCTTTAGGGCTCAGGGTTCAGGGTTTAGGGTTTAGGGTTTGGGGGTTTAGGGTTTAGGGGTTTAGGGTTTAGGGTTTTGGGGTTTAGGGTTTAGGGTTTAGGGTTCAGGGTTTAGGGAATCTGAACTATAAACCCTTTACCCTGAACCCTGAACTATATAACCCTGAACCCTAAACGATAAGCCCCGAACCCTGAACCCTCAAACCTAAACTCGTATAACTGTAGGGCTTTAGAGTTGGAGCGTTTGGATCTGCGCGAAATCTTTCTCTTCAAGCTCATGCTTGGGGTTTAGGATTTTAGTTTAAGGTTCGAGGGTTTAGGGTTCAGAGCTTTAGGGCTTTGGGTTTGGAGGGTGTGGGGTTTAAGGCTTTCAGGTTTAGGGTTTAGAGCTTTAGGGTTTTAGGGTTTAGGGGAAGCTCTGAACCCCTCTGAAGTCATGTCTCTCTGCTCCCAAGACTCCGAATCCTACAAGAAGCCTTAACTTGAGGGCTTGTGAGATATTATATATATATATATATATATATATGATTAATTGATTAACTTAATTAATATATATATATATATAGAGAGAGAGAGAGGAGCCTAAATAGCTACCAATATGATTGTTTTGGGGGGTTCCTTGTTGTATTTCTACGATAAAAGATCCTAAAACCCTGTTCTAGTCATTAAGG